TTTTTTAAACACATATTTACGCTTAATAAAAAATCATTTTTAAACAAAAATAAAGATAAGTAATAGGAAGTACAAAGATGGAAAGGTATGCTTCTGTTTAAAAAAAAAAAGAAAACCTTTAAAATGAAAGAAAATCAACAAAAAGCATAAGGTAAAAAGGAAAGAGAATGCAATGAATTATACATGGGGTGTGTGTGTGCACAAGGTTAATCATCAAGTCCCACATCAAAAATATATTACTTCAAATAAAATGAAAGATGACTTTTATTTAAAATTGAGAAAAATATCAAGAAAAATATAAAGCATTAAACATTTCTTAAAGCCATATTTAAGCTACATAAAAAATCAAGTATAGGATAAAATAAAATTAAATAAGTGCAAAGATTTTAAAAAAAAGTACTTATATTTAAAAAATGCCTTAAAATGTAAGAAAAATCAACAAAAAAGTTCAAGGAAAAAGAGAAAGAATGCAATGAGTTCTATATGCTATGTGTACATGCATGTTTCCTCAAGTCCCACATAATTAAAATTTTTAAAGAAAATACTTTAAATGCTTGATAATATGATACACTTCTATGCTTGATAATATGATAATATGATACGTTTCTACATAAATGATGGATTTTATTTAAAAAGTGAGAAAAATATCAATAAAATATAACGCAACAAACAGTTTTTGAAGAAATATTTAAACTAAATAAAAAATTACACAAAAAATACAGATAAAGAATAAAATGAAGTTCTTATATTTGGGGGGGGAACTTTAAAACGAATGAAAAACAATCAAGCAAATGATTGAAGGAAAACCAAAAAATAAAAAGAAAGAATGCAATGAGTTATATATATATATATATATACACACACACACATATATATATATGATATGTGTGCCTAGCGCTCTCATGAGGTCCAAGATCAAAAAAATATTTTTAAAGAAAATAATAGATAGCTTTTATTTGAAGATTGAGAAAGGAATCAAGAAAAATATAAAACATTAAGCAATTTTGACGACATATTTAATCTAAATAAAAAAATCAAGTTTAAACAAAAAAATATAGATATATAATAAGTTTCAAAATATAAATCAACAAAAAACAAGAAAAAAGAAAAAGAATGCAATGAGTTATAAATGGTGCGCGTGTCGTGGTTTCGTCAAACCTCTCATCGAAAAAAATATTTTTAAGGAAAATAAAAGTTCACTTTTATGTAAAAATTGAGCAAGATATCAAGAAAAATAAAACATTAAGTTCTTTTTAAAAACAAATAATAGAAAGTACAAAAAAAATATAAAGAAAAATGAAAGATGAATTTCATTTAAAAACTGAGAAAGATATCAAGAAAAATATAAATAATTAAGCAAATTTTGAAGACAAAAAAAATAGGAAGATGTGGTTTTAGAGAAAGATATAAATAAAAATGTCAAGCAACAAGCACTTTTTGAAGACAAATAATAGAAAGAGCAAAGATTAAAAAAATGTGGCTATATTTCAAAAAACCTATAAAACATAAGCAGGTACAAGATGCTTAAATAAAAAATGCAAATCAATAAAAGAAGATGCAAAGATGAAAAGGTACCACTAATATTTTAAAAAATTAAAATATAAGAAAAAAAAATTAACCAAAAGCACAAGGGAAAAAAGAGTGAGAAAGAATGCAATGAGTTATATATGGGATGTGTGCCTGAGGGTTTCATAAAGTCTCACACCTAAAACATATTTTTAAAAAAAAATAAATTTGACTTTTATGTAAATTCGGAGAAAAATGTGCTTATAATTAAAAGAGCTTTAAAATGTTAAAAAAAATCAACAAAAAAGGAAGTAAGCAATGAGCTGTATATGCCATGTGTGCAGGGTGTTTTCATCCAAAATATATTATTTCAAAGAAAATAAAAGTCATCTTGACTTTTATCTAAAAATTGAGAAAGATATCAAGATAAATATAAATAATTAAGCAACTTTCAAAGAAAAATAGGAAGATGCGCTTTTAGAGAAAGATACCAAAAAAAAAATCTTAAGCAATAATCACTTTTTGAACACAAATAACAGGAAGTGCAAAGAATAATAAAAATGTGTTTATAATTTAAAAATTCTTTAAAATATAAGGTGCAAAGAAAGCGCTTAAGCAAAAAATGAAAATAAAAAAGGTGCAAAGATTAAAAAGCCACGCTTATATTTAAAAAAGTTTTAAAATGTAAGAAAATAATTAATAAAAAACACAAGGAAAAACTAACAAAGAATGCAATGAGTTATATATGGTGTGTGCATAATGGTTTCACTAAGTCTCGCATCGAAAATATATTCTTTTGAAAGAAAATAAAGTTGACTTTTATGTAAAAATAGAGAAAGATATCAAGAAAAATAAAGGAATAAGCGCTTTTTGAAAAAAAATAATAGAAAGTGCAAAGATTAAAATATGTGCTTATAACTAAAAGAACTTTAAAATGAAAAAAAAAAAGATATCAACAAAAAAGAAAGAATACAATTGAGTTATACATGCTATGTGTGCATGGTGGTTTTATCCAAAATATAATATTTTAAAGAAAATAAAAGATTATTTTTATTTAAAAATTGAGAAAGATATCAAGATAAATATAAATAATTAAGCACTTTTTGAAGACAACAAATAGGAAGATGTGCTTATAGAGCAAGATACAAATAAAAATGTTAAGAAATAAGCACTTTTAAAGACAAATAATAGGAACTGCAAAGATTAAATAGATGTGCTAGTAATTCAAAAAAGCTTTAAAATATAAAAAGGTGCAAAGATGCACTTAAACAAAAATGTCAATAAATAACAGAAGGTGAAAATTTTTCAAAAGGTGCGCTTATATTTAAAAAAAATAAAATTAAAGAAAAAAAATTAATCAAAAGCACAAGGGAAAAAAAAAAAGAGAAAGAATGCAATGAATTATGTGCGGTATGTTCATAGTGGTTTCATCAATTTTCACATTAAAAATATAATTTTCAAAAAATAAAAGTTGACTCTTATGTAAAAACGGAGAAAGATATCAAAAAAAGAAGCAAAAAGCACTTTTTGAAAACAAATACTAGAAAGTGCAAGGATTAAAAAAATGTGCTTATAATTAAAAGAGCTTTAAAATGTAAAAAAAATCAACAAGAAAGAAAGAATGCAATGAGTTATACATGCTATGGGTATATGGTGGTTTCATAAAAATATATTATTTTGAAGAAAATAAAAGATGACTTTTATTTGAAAATTGAGAAAGATATCGAGAAAAATATAAATCATTAAGAACTTTTTGAAGACATTTAAGCTAAATAAAAAAAATCAAGCGTAAAAAAAATATAGATAAATAATAAGAAGACCAACGATTAAAAAAATGTTCTTATACTTTGGGAAAGAAAAATGCAAGGAAAAAAAAATCAACAAAAAGCATGAGGAAAAAAAGAGAGAGAATTCAATGAGTTATATATGGTGTGAGGGAATGTGGTTTTCTCAAGTCCCGCATCAAAAATATATTTTTAAAAAGAAAATATTAAAAATATTTGATAATATGATACATGTTTTATGAATATAAGATTAACATTATTCAGAAATGATGACTTTTATTTAAAAATTGAGAAAGATCTCAAGAAACATAATATTCTCTGACTGAAATTCTTTGTTCTTAGATTGATAGAAGTGAACAACAACACAACATGATACAACCAATCATATGATGTATTGGTCCCGTAACACACAAGATGGATAGCTAACAGGTATTAAAGATATGACAAACGCATTCAGCAATCAACAAAGCAAACATCGTATTGAAACAATATATCATAAAACGTTAGAACAGTAGGAGCTTTCGAACACAAGAAATCACAAGTACTGTTGGAATTAACTCAATGCCTACCTAACGGCTATTAGTTATAATCTGATATTGACATTGACCAGAAAAATGAGTAAGTGAAGTTATGTCTATAATGTATGATAAATTTACCTGGCAATTAACAATATCAGATATGCGATGAAACTACTTTCTTCATCACAGAGGAGCCATCCTTTTGAAACAATCTATGGCATCATGTTAGAACACTAGGAGCTCTGGTACATGTACGCATCCACTAGTACATTATGTCATGTCAAGATAAACAATGAACGTAGTCACCCCAAGCTACATTCATCACCCAGACAGACTTTGGGAGAAGTTTACCAAAAGAAAAAGTAAATGTTCTGTTTCTGCATTGCATCACGGAGCATGAAATTTAGGAAACAATGCACCACAACCATCCAAGTTCAACATTGACACTTGGGTTTCAAATAGAGTGAGATCACAAAAGAAGAAAGATATTCAACAAGAACGAGTTGTATTCAAGTGGCAAACACACCAAAAAATTGACACAGGAATGGGATTCTCAGTAATTTTGCAAGGTTATTTTCCTCTCTTTCTTGGAGACCCATGGCGAGGAGGGGGAGGTTATGAAAAGCAACAATTTCCTTACGGCAAATTAATGATCAGATAATTCAATCAGCAAGTTTCAGAAAATTGTCTACCTCATTTCACATCCGACCAGAAACAATCAGATACGACCAATTAACAATTAAGTAGGCTATCTCCTCTGTAATTGTTGAGAAGTGCAAGCACATATAAAGCCTCCACCTTTGGGTTCTTTCAACTGAATGCCAATTAGAATCCTAATCCTTCGTATCATTTTAGTAATATGTAAAGTAATATGACTCGAAACTAGTGCCACGGATTTATAAGCATTTACGCTTGCAGTTCTATTTCTTAGCCACAAGCCAACAACATATCATGTTAAAAGAACACCTATCTAACACCTCCCAAGTCCTTCGTGTATATCTTATATTTTCTAGTATACTTTCCTCAAATCCATTGAATTAACGCGTCTAATTCTAAACTCCACCAAATCATTAACAAGGCGAAGCTCGAAGGGTAAAAATGTGCACTTAAACTTTAAAAGAAAAGGAGATCATCAGATATGTAAGAAATGATATATCAACTATGGGTATTGCAAGTGATAAACGAAAATTACCTGATACGAGTTGTGGCATCTTGACCATACTAGAGAAGCGACGCAATTTTTTGCCTCGATCTGCCAAACCATCACCATCTTTTTTGCTGCCGTTTGTTGATTTCACCAGTTCATGACCTAATTCCGTAATCAATCCAGAAACATAACTAAAATTTCTAGATTGAAGAAAATGGCATGAGGAAAAACTAATAATAGTAAGCGACAGTATACCTTCGAGCCCTTAAAGAATTTTGAGAAAGAAGTAGCAGTTGGAGGAGTTGAAGCCTCAACAGAAAAGAGAGATACAGAGCTTCGTCTATGACAGTCATGAGTGTGTCTGATTCCAAGAAACCCTTCTTCGACGCCGTTTGAGACTCTTCTTTGCGCTTCCCTTTCTTCCTTCAAGCTTCGACTGATCGATTCGAAACTGTCTTCACTTTCCAGTGTCCATTCTTCCTGTCTGCTACTCTTTGTGCGACTGCACATTGCCGCAATGCCGTCTTGATTTTTCACCACTCTGATCTTGATTTATAATCTCCCTAATCTTTATAACCGGAGCGAAGAAAGAAAGACCAACAGGCAAAGGCAAGAGATGGGATCTGTGGAGATTAGAAAATGAAGCCTGGATGAAGAACTGGGAACTGGAGAGGAGAAAGGAGTCTAGCAAGCGAGTCGGCAGTGAAAATAGAAGATGCGTATATCAGACGCTTTGGTAACAGAAATTCAAGAATTAATAAATTAATAAATTATTCATTAATTCTTTTGAAAAATATGGACGCAATTAATAATGGTTCTTCGCGTAGTGGTTTGGGGTATGATTAAATGTAACCGTGGAGGGTATTCAAAAGCTAGTCGGCAGTGAAAATAGAATATGCGTATATCAGACGCTTTGGTGACAAAAATTCAAGAATTAATAAATTAATAAATTATTCATTAATTCTTTTGAAAAATATGGACGCAATTAATAATGGTTCTTCGCGTAGTGGCTTGGGAGTATGATTAAATGTAGCCGTTGAGGGTATTCAAAATACTTTATTGTTCATCAATAATATTGAATGGCACTTAAGTCCTACTATGACCATTTCAAAGTAAGTTTCTTATATCCTTAGCTAATATTCTTGTATAATGTAATCAATTTTTAATTTTAAAATTGAAAAAAATTAGTTACAAATTCAACAATACAAAATTACAAAATTAAGGAAAAAAGTTGTAAATTTCAAGAGGTGTTTAAATGATTATTTAAATTTAATCATTAATATTTGTATTTTCTATTAAAATTAAGAAAGAAAGTTGAAAATTCAAGATGATGAAATTGCAAATTTGTCTCTCAAAATTAAAATTTTGGTAGTTTGCAACTTTATCTACTAATTTTGTGATTTCGTCTTATTGAATTTGAAATTCATTTTTATAATTTTAATAAAATTAAATTTAAAAGGAAGCAAGTTATCATTTAAATGTTTTCAAGAATTTACAACTTTTTCTTCCAAATTTACAATTTTGTAGACTTGAAATTACAACTTGCTTTCTCAATTTTAATAAGAAACACAAATTTTAATGATTAAACGTGAAAAGTAGCATGTTATTATTTGAACATTTTCAAAAAATTTCAATTTTATCTTCTTGAATTTTCAACTCATTTTCAGTTTTAAGAATCTAAAAGACTTCCTTTACATTTTAAAATTTTTTAGAACTTTACTTAAATAAAATGATCTGTTTGAGACTTAAGTGTTATTTATTAAATATTTATAATTGTTGTTTTATAGCATTTTTATTCATAAATATAAATGTGAAACGTATTATTTTTGTTCTTAAAAATTGAATCTTTGTTTTATATTTTATTTTATTCTTATTTATTAAATTGATTCCTAACAATTGGAGGTAAATCTTTTAGGATGCATTGTTCTAAGTTTTAACATTAACATATTTGAGAAATTGTATGAGAGCCAAAAATTTATAAAAAGAACAGATTAATTTGGTTTTCTATAATAAGTTTTTCTCATGCAACTTACAGAACTAGGTAAAATGGAGCACAACACATTAGAGTGGTGGTGGAAAACTCAAACACGAGCCTTGGATTTGAGTTTTTGGCTACACTTGTTAGCTGTCATAGACCTGTAGATGCAAGGACATCTTTAAATCAACTTAACACAGCATGAAGGATATCTTAACATGTGCCAAATGAAGTTGTTGAAAGAAAAAGACCTTAACCATCTCAAGTTGCATCATGCCCCACATGAAACTCATAGGTATCAATCGATTGCACTTGTCTAAGGAACCATACAAATGAATGCATACGCCTCTTTGATTGGCGACAACAACATTGCTTGTGGTGGTTTAGCTAAAAATTCAAAAGGTGAATGGGTAAGAGGCTTTACCTGTAACCTTGGTAATATACCTATCAACATAGCCAAGGTCAAAGCTGTTAAATTTGGAATGAGGACTTGCAGGAGCATGAATATCAAGAAAGCCCCCATTTTTTCACATTCACTTAATGTTGTCAATTTTGTTTAAAGAGGAGCTCCAAGTTCCCATCCCTTCTATGACAAGTTAAGAGCTGTTTAGGATTAGACCGTCACCCAACAAGATTATTAGATACTCTATGCCCCTTGTGAAGCTACATTCTCTACCAACTTTTTTGCCAAGCGAGCCCATCACCATCCTTGTGAACTAATCCAACTATTTGATGCCTCAAAAGAATGTGAAACCTATCTTTTAGCTAACAAAAGTGGGATTATGCCCGCAGCTTGTAATCTTATCTAGTCTTTAGCACTAGCCTTACCAATATTAAAAAAAAAAACATTAACAAAACACTACATTGGCTAAAACACATCAAAAATGCAAATCTACTTAAAAAGGCCGAAATAGCCTAAGTCCTAAAACAAGAAATCATCCCATTTGTAATTTTCTTTGGTAGCTTTCTCTTGAAGCTAAAAGTCAAAGTTTGGTGGGTTTGGATCTGCACTAAAAGTTTCCATGACTGGCTAAGATATAATGCTAATATTTTTTTGGGCAAGTATAAGATGGGATTTTTTTTTATACAAAGGCAAGACGAAGCTGAAGATAGGAAGTGCAATTAAGAGGCACTCATATTAGACAATATTTAGCTATATAACCCCAGGATAAAATAAGATTTTTTAATCCATATCCTAGGCCCTAGCCTAGATAGATCAACCCAACATAACCCATATTAAAAAAAAAGAAAAATAACAATATAATTTTATTGAAATATATAAATAACAATCAAATCTTTTGAAATGTCATAATTTCTCTCAAGTCTTTATGTACTTTTATAATATTAATGATTAATGATTTTAAATCAAATGACTAAATTTTTCTTTGTTTAAAAATAATTAGTCACAACTTTTATTTAAATAATTTTGAATTGCAAATATTGAACAAGAAATCATAACTCCCTAAATAATTTTTTTTACCATTGAAGTCTAAATTTTGAAAATAATTAGTCACAACTTTTGTTAAAGTAATCATAATTTTTATTCTATGAATCGCATATTAAACAAAAAAATCACAACTTCCCTCGTAAAACTTCTTTTATCATTAAAGTGCAAGTTTTAAAAATAATTAGTTACAACTTTTGTTTAAATAATTAATTTTTGTTCTGTGTATTGTCAATATTGAATAAGAGGTCACAACTTTTCATGTGAAATTTTTTGTCATTAAACATTGGGCTATTTAGTCATTTAATTAAAATTATTAATGCTAGAAAGGTATTCAAAAACTTACCAGAAATTATAATATTTTAAGAAATTTAATTGTTATTTATATATTTTGCTCTAATTTTATTATTATTTCCCAAAATAAATATTATGAGGGAGATAAGGACAAGCGTCAGCCTACGTGTGATCTCGGTGCTTCTAAAGTTGCATGAGCTTAGACTCCTCACCTCTTACATGTAGGCTTGTTTTGAATGGAGCAAAACTAGGGAAAAAAATATTGAAGAGATAAAACTAAAAAAAGAAATTTCCGAAACTAAGATCCTCTCCTAATTTTTCTTTCCCTATATTTTTCTTCCCATCTTACACCATTCAACTCTCTATTATTGATGGATCTAGAAAAATAAATTAGGGACATAATTTATAGGGAGAATTTCAATTAAGAATCAGGAAAGAGATTTAATTTTATGTGGCTTCAAAAATATTTAAAATTTCAGTTCAATTGAAGGGAGAAAAGTCAAAAAAAAAATTGATAGTGAAAAGATTAAAATATTTTTTTGTTATGCAAAATCACTAGCTAATTTTTTTATTACACTTGTTAATTTATCAATATCACTTGTAAATTACATCAATTTGTCAAACAATCAGTAACATTAGTTATTAATTTATTAATTTTACTTGTTAATTTTTTAACATCATTTATAAATTACAAGACCTATCAGTAATTTATAATTAATGTTAGTAAATTATAAAACTTGTTAGTAATTAACAACTGATGTTAATAAATTAACAAGTAAAGTTAGCAATTTAACAATTGATATTGTTGCTTATGATTGAAAAACTAATATCAAGTCTTATATAATTATTGACATGTGAACTTATATAATTTGCAACTCATATTCGTAAATTAAGTGAAATAAAAAATTAACAATTAGTAATTCTACATAATAGGTGATGGGTATTTTGTTTTTTTCATCATCAAAATTCTTTGACTTTTCTTCCTTGGACTGACTAAAATTTTAGAATATTTTTAGACTCATCTAAAATCAAGTATCTTTTCTAGTCCTTAACTGAAATTCTCCTTAATTTATGTTTAAAATAAATATTAATATTTTAATAGAATTATATCAAGGATATATTTTAATAGAATTAATTACCAAAAAACAATTTGTAAAACATAAAATTATAATAAGATAAACAAATTATCTTTATATAGATAACTTTTTTCTACTTGTTGGATTCATTTTGTTATGTTCATTAAATACAATATATATACCTCTTTTGTATAATGGAGAATTTTTTGTGATAAAAATTTGAAAAAATTAATCACTCAGTATTTGCAATTTTAACTCAATTGTAGCTCAGTCCTTAAATTTTAACTTGTTGTAACTCAAACCTTGAAGTTTAGACTGAATTGTAAATCAATCCCTAAAATTTGTCTCTTGAATTTAGCCCATAAAATTTTTACCTCTTAAATATTAGTTCCTGTATTTTAAAAAATAAAATTATAAAGATTAAAATATTTTAAAATTTATTACTAATATTTTAAATTATTAAATCCTTTTAATCTTTATAAATATTATAAATATTAAATGTTTAAAATAATTTTAATCTTTATAATTTTATTTTTTAAAATATAAGAATCAATATTTAAGAGGTTGAAATTTCAAGGACTAAATTGTAAATGCAAAGTTCAAGGATTGATTCATAATCAAGTCAAAACTTCAAAGATTGAGTTATAACAAATTAAAGTTGTGAAATTGAGTTGCAATTTGGTCAAAACTACAAGGATCAAAATGATTAATTTTTCTTAAAAAAATTTATAAACATATGTTTAATTATTATTACTTTTCCATTCTAAAACTATTGTTATTTAAGGTTATAGTACATAGATTAAAACTTCAAGTGACAATTTGTTTGTTAAAATGGGATAAATGAAATTTTTAAAGTGATGGGGGCAGTCGAAATTTTTGAAGAGGGGAAACTAAAATTATTTGGGTCATCTTAAATATTTTTT